AAAAAAAAAAAAAAAAGAAAAAAGCTAGTTGCAGAGGCCTTTATTAATAATCCATAGAGGATTATACCCTTTACGTATGAAAAGTCAGAGCACTCACCCACTGTTTCCTCTGGGTGTGTATATGTTCTAAATTCATAGATGAAGGTCTCAGAGAGACACACTAATAGCATTCCTCATAGGAGGAGTCTGGAAGTAGGCCAGGGTCAGATCTAAAGGTACTTAAGTCTTACATAAAGGCTTTTTCTTTATCTACTAGCAGAATCCACTCATCTCTTTGTTAATTAAAAGCAATGTTTTGGGCCAGCCCACAGCCTTGTGGTTAAGGCAGCGAGATCTCACACGACTGATTGAAGTTCGAGTCCTGGCCTCGGTGGCTTCAAAAGCATGCTTGGCACATGTGCACGCATGCTTCAAACCCCAGCAGGATGGAGAAATGGAGGAGTGGGATTGCAGCAGGACCACTTCATGTGGGACTGCTTTCTCCTTCTCTGTTTCCTGTTTCTCTTTCTCTCTCTAATGAGTGCATGTGCCCTGTGGCAAAACCAAAACCAAACAAACCATGGTGTTTTGGAAGTTCTGTGGGCCGGCAGTGGATTGCTCAGTGCAAGGGCGGCTCAGGCAGAGTGGGTAGCCACCATGGGCTCCCGAGAGCCGCTGTGACGCGCAGATCCTCCTGTGCTGACGCTGGTTCTGCCTCCCCAGATTCTGACCGGTGAAGACTGGAATGCTGTGATGTACGACGGCATCATGGCCTACGGGGGCCCGTCCTCTTCAGGAATGATCGTCTGCATCTACTTCATCATCCTCTTCATCTGTGGTAACTGTATCCTCCGAGCCGACCAGGGCTGTGTGGCCGGCGTCTCGGCTTCTTTCTCTGAGTTGCCCCGAGGGGATGGTGCTGGGGTAGCTCAGGTGGAAGGCCAGAGCCTTTTCCCATCAGCTCAGTTCCTGCTTCCCTGCAGTCTGGCTGGGGGACCGGGTCTGTGAGCAGAGTTCATGGGACTTTGAGGAGTGCAGGTGGCTGAATGAGACAAGCCAGAGGACAGAGACATGGGACAGCACCTGTGCAGGGGCCGATGGGCATTGACATAGAGTCAAGACTTGTGGGCAGATCCCAAGGGATGGCTTAGGGTGAAGCCAGGTGGTTCTCTGTGTCCTTGTCCTTGGGAAGTTAGGGGTGCATCTGTATTGTTGCCATCTTTTTTTCTTTTTTCTTTTTAATAGTTTATTTCTTCTGTGGGAGAGAGAGAGAGGCAGCACCCAGCAACACTGTCTTCCTGCAGCCTTAGTTAGCACAGGTCACAGGCATGCATGCACATGCCCATCGTGCTCTGGGAGGCTTCAGGACACAAATCCAGAGACCCCTGAGGGTCAGACAAGGCAGAGCAAGGAACATTGCCACTCGCCGGCTCCACCCGGGCCTTCTTAAGGCCCTCCATGACTGAAGGCGCCTGCACTCCCCCAGATCTACTTTCAGTTGCTCATCTGTCGATCACTGGGGACCAAGTGTCCTTCGGCTGGCTGCTCTGTCAAGCCATGTGACTTTTCTCCAATTCGTTTAACTCCCTTTCCCTGCCAAGAGACTCTTTCTACTCCTAGACTTCCGCAGTTGGCCCTCAGGTCTGGGTGCGCTTCCACCAGACCCTTGGCGATCCCGTAACATGGGTCGTGTCTGTTTCACCTCTAGGTCCTCCATGCCTCCCACAAGACCTGCCCTGTGGAGGCCTCCGTAAGCACTCAGGGGGTGAGCAATCACACAGACCCATGGACCCTGCCTCTCAGTCTTCACCCTTCCTTTCTGAAGAGTCCGATCTGGGCTCTTCTCCCAGCCAAGCCCAGGTCCTCCCTAGGATCTGGGGCTGCTTTTCCCTCAGTGCTCTCAGGCTCACTGATGGAGACTCCAAGAGGAAAATAGAGAAGCAGAGATTGTGGCCTGGCCATCCCCCCAGGGGGGTGATTTCTCACTTTGCCTTTCTCTGTATGTCTCTCTATTGAGTGTATGTGCCCTGGAGCAAAAACTGAAATAATAATAATAATAATAATAATAATAATAATAATAATAATAATAATAATAATAATAATAATAATAATAATAATAATAATAATAATAATAATAATAATAATAATAATAATAATAATAATAATAATAATAATAATAATAATAATAATAATAATAATAATAATAATAATAATAATAATAATAATAATAATAATAATAATAATAATAATAATAATAATAATAATAATAATAATAATAATAATAATAATAATAATAATAATAATAATAATAAAAGACAAGACACAAAGTACATGTTAATTATACCATGCTTATGTTACAGATTGTTTTATACAATGCATGTTAAATGTAGCTACAGACACATAGATATATAGTTTTTTTTCTTTTTTTTTTTTTTTTTTTTTTTTAAGACATGGGGCTCAGCCTACACTGTGCAGTCCATAGCAAGCTGGACTGCAGTGCTGGAAGCCACATGGCAAGCCAAGGATTTGGATCCCCTGGCTGGCATGAAAACATCCAGGATGTGTGTATGGGCATCCAAGATCCTGAGGAGCTTGAGGGCAGGGAAGAGGAGATTGTGATGTGACAAGACCTTGTCAAAGGTTCTCCCTCCCTCTTTCTCCCTCTCTTTCTCTCTTTCCTTCATAAAACAAAATGAAAAGCAGGGTTCTGGTCCTCAGGCTTCATAAGTGAATATTCTGCTAGGGACAGTGGCCTAATGCCAGCCTCCCACAATGCAGAGGGTGGTAGCAATTACCACTGATCACACACACACACACACACACACACACACACACACACACACACACTTTGAGAAACGATTGCACCCTTAAAATGTTCAAATCAGATATTCTGCTGAACGTCTTCTTGGCCATCGCTGTAGACAATTTGGCTGATGCTGAAAGTCTGAACACTGCACAGAAAGAGGAAGCCGAAGAAAAGGAAAGGAAAAAGATCGCTAGGTAAGCCCACTTTCACCTGAGGTGTTTGCTCAGGGGGCCACCTGGAGGGTCCCAGCCTGATGGGGTCATCGTGCTGCACTCTAGCTGCAGGTGACTACAGGTGACCATGTGTTGCAGACAGAAGAGTGGACTCCTAGGCAGAAGCCAGGCCCTGGACTCTCACCCCTCAGAGCTGAGAGTGGGAGCCACGTGTCCCTGTGCTTAAATAATCATTGTAGTTAATTTTGGCATCATAAAAATAAACGCCACGTTCAGCGCTGATCAGCTCTGGGATGAGAGCTTTAGTGAGAGGATCTGTAATGATCCATGCTCAGCACCGGGAGGCTCTGTGTTGGGCGGGGCTGCAGTCTTGCTGTCAGTGTCATTCCCACTCACAGTCTGCCCTTCCTGGAGCTCCATGGATTCAGACTCTCGATTGGCTTTCTCATGTGTGCTAATATGGTTCTTTGGTTTCTCTGTAGAAAAGAGAGCCTAGAAAATAAAAAGAACAACAAGCCCGAAGTCAACCAGATAGCCAACAGTGACAACAAGGTATTTGTTCCAGATATCCCCCTCTCTGTTTTCAAGTGATGCTGTTGGTCTTCCCACATCCGTACCATTTACACCATGAAAATGTTTCATTCCTATCAGATCTGGGTGTGAAGAGCATAGCAGGCCACATAGATGCTGGCTTCCCAGGGACACTGGCTGCCTTTAGGTACTTAGCTGCCTATTAACCAGTATCTCCCCGCAGAACCAGTGTGATATGTAGTGGGCTCATTCGGCCACTGTTTTCCCCGCTATACTGGGATGGTGTGGTCTGACCTAGTCCTGTTAGCATCTGTCTGTTCCAGAGGGAGTCCCAGGGTCAGGTGGTCTGGGTGGCTTCAGGCCTCCACTGTCAAACTCATGACAGGTCAGGGTGACGTGGTCATTTGTTGGTCTGTGAGCTGATGAATACTTACTGAGGCTCCTGTGTCAGACCCCGTGGATTCAACGATGAGGATGACCAATGAGGTCGCTGTCTTCGAGGAGCTCAGTCTAGCGGGAAGGCAGGACTCTTCACATGTGCTTATCTCCTAGTGCGAGTGACCGTGCTGGGGTGGGAAAGGGGCGGCATGGGTAGTGCAGGTCAGATTACCCCAGTTCTCCCCTCACCTGCCTTCAGGCCTTCTATCTGAAGTACAGGTGACATCTGTCCTTGCACACTCACACACAGACACACCCACACTTGGGAGAGGAATTCCAAGCCCTGTGCTGCACAGCCAGCAGGGTTAACTCTTCACTCTGGCCCTCAGAAGTGCGTTGAAGTCAGTGTCTCCCCTCCTCCCAAGATGCCTCTGTGCCCGTAGGTTACCATCGACGACTATCGCGAGGAGGATGAGGACAAGGACCCCTACCCGCCTTGTGATGTGCCAGGTACGGTGGCAGTGGCAGGGACAGGCTGTCAGCAAGTGAGCCCTGTGGCTCTGCTACCGCCCTGTGGCCAGCTGCTGGGCCAATGGCTGGCCAGTCTGTCCGGGGTGTACCCTGCTTTACTGAGGCCTTGGGTCCAACTGCCCATGGTCCCCTTCGCTCTGCATTTTCCTGGGGTCCCAGGCAGTGTCCATAAAATTGGATTAGAAGGAAAATTCCTGCTCCCAAATTCTAGCTAGTAGGGCTGGGAGATAGAAGTGGGTCACGGCAGGCCCGGCATGTGCTGAGAAGCCTCTTAGGGAGGTGACCGCTGTTGGCCCTCACCTCGCACGTGTTCTTTGACGACGCCTTCGATGGCCAAGGTCGATGAGGATATGGAGTTGGGGCTGCATGTCCGTGACTTGAAGTTTCACATGTGGTTTTTCAGGCTCAGTTCAGCACAGAAAGATTACTGGGAAGACAGCCAGGTGCTGGGAGGATGGCAGTGAGAAGCCCACCGCTGCCGCCTGCCTTGTCTCTGTGGTCAGATCTTTCCCTGTGGGAACCTCATCCCACAACTGAGCACACTTATCAGGCAGGGGTGCTTCTCAGCCCACACTTGCCCCCATCCCAAGGGAGCAGGGGGGTTTTGCTGAGTGTGAGCAGGTAGATGTTAATGTTTTGATATGCGATTGAGAACAGTCATTCACACCCATGTGTTGTCTATCTCATGCCTATAAAAAAGTATTTCCTTTAAAGTAGGTGAAGAGGAGGAAGAGGAGGAGGAGGATGAGCCTGAGGTTCCTGCTGGCCCCCGTCCTCGCAGAATCTCGGAGCTGAACATGAAAGAAAAGATCGCCCCTATTCCCGAAGGAAGCGCATTCTTCATTCTTAGCAAGACCAACCCGTAAATATCCCCTTTCTAGACCCATCACTCGCGTGTCTCCCTATAGGTTGCTTGAGGGAGGCTGAGAATGGGGTGAGCAAAAGTGGCTCACAGCCTCCTTCTGAGCCCTGGAGCCCCCCATCTTGCCTTTTCCCTCCATGCATCTCCTTCCTGTGGGGTGTGACAGATCCAGATGCCCCTCCCTGGGCATAGAATGGGGCGGTGCCCCGTGCTCTCCAGGATGCTCTGCCAGGCCCACTACCCTGACGTTCCAGGTGTCTGCCATCCCAGGACCCTTGTTAACGAGTGGATCTTCTGTTAAGGTCCTTGGTAGGAATGAGACTTCTGTGACCAAGTTCTGCTCTGTGTCTTCATCTTGAGGTTCTTTTAGTTGATCATTTTTCCTGTTGAGTTTTACGATGATAAAGTAACAATGCACACTGGCATATTCTAGGTTACAAGTGTTCCTTTCAGCTCTACGGTATCCTGCTTGAGATAGCGTTTCTCAGGACAGGGTGACAAGGTCTCACCCGGAACCGGTCACTACTCACCAATAGTGCAAGAGGGAGAGGTTTATTTACCAGCTGGTTTCTAGGTTTTAAATCATCTGGGATTGAGTGAAATGCCCGGGGAATAAACGGCTCCTGGAAAGGTGGTTAGAATTGTAGAAGAAGTGTGTGGCTGTCAGAGAACTGTATAGTTCAAGGCCCTGGGGAGACAGAGGTGGGAAGCATGGCAGGACAGAGTCCTCAGAGACATGAAATTCATGGTCGGTTTTACTCATTGCTGTTTGGATGCCTTTTTCAAAAAGTTATGAAACTGACATTGCCGAGACCTGCAGCTCCTTGTGTACACCTGTGTTAGCAGGAGGGCCTGATTTTCCCCAAAGGCTGCGAGCTCCCTGCCCCGGCTGTCTCAGAAGGTCTTCCCCAGACCCAGGTGCTGCCAGCTGGCAAGTCCTACAGGGTACTCAGCCATGAGCAGCCCCACAGGGAAGCGAGAGATCACCTTTATATAAAGTTGACTCCAGTTTCAGAAGTGAAAAAAAAAATTATTTCAAAGGAAAGTCTTATCTGTAGTCTGTAGACCCAAAAGAGCTCTCTGAGTTCTAAAGGCACATATTGAGGATAAGGAAAGTCACTTGCTGAGTCCCCATGACACATCTGGGGCTGCAGGAAGGCTCCGAAGGGCCGGAGAGCCTGGGACACTGAGTACAGCCACCGTCCCTTCCAGGACTGCAGGACTCAGCGAGAAACCCCACACCGGGCACCCTGATCTTGCATGTTAGGATTGTGTAACTTCCATGTCCTTTTCTAAGCCCCGCTTGTTGGGAGTTGATTCCTGGATTATAAAAATATTTACAACAATCTCCAGACACCAGGAGACTGAGCCAAGCCTCACTTACTGAGGACCATAGGCAGACAGCGTGGGCCAACAGCACGAGTGGGCAGGAACCGGATTGGAGGCTCAGAAATAGCTTGGTCGGTCACAGCCAGCACGCGCCGCCTTTGAACACGGCCTGAGCAGGTGGCCGCCTGTGGGGCTGCGGCTCTGCTGGATGGTCAGCTGATCCTCAGCCGATTGTCACGGAAGGCGCTCCCCCACTCTCACCCTGT